CCTCGGTCGCGGCGGATCTGGGCATCGAGAGGGGCAGCGGCGCCACAGTCGCCAATCCTCGTCACTCTGAGCGGTTTGGTCAGGCCACGAGAAGGGCTTGCCGAATTAATAAGCAAGCTGCTGTCGCTCCTCGCAAGATCGGGGCGCGGTTGATCCTCACTGGGGCTTTGTCGCAGGCTTCTTATGCCTGGAAGGTCTTTGGGATCGCGCCCTCGGTCCTCCGGGCATGGCGGCGGGCGCTGGCTAGCAGATGAACTCGCGGCACGGCAGGGCGTTGTCTCACGACCCTGATGGCCCTGGAAGTGCGGAAAAAAAGGCCCTGCTTTCACCACTTTCTCCAGCTTCTGGACTCGTGGTTTCAGATTGTTGCTCCGTTGCCTGAGAAGGGAGTGGATCGCAGGCGTGCTTCTTGGAAGTCCACGGTTGATAGGATCGACAGGTTGGGCCCCCGGCGTAGGTGGGACAATATTGAGGGACCCGTGTCTGCTGTGGTTGCCACTATGACGGCCTTGGGATGGAAGCTCGATGGGCCGTGGTCGTGGGTGTCTCCTGGGGGTAACTCATTTGCTTTGCCCGATGAGTTTCGACCCCAAGCTTGTATGACGTCGGACTTTAAAAAAGAGGTTGACTGTAGCATTTGGCACGCGTTTATGGTCTGCTGCTGCCGAGTTCCGCAATGGAAGGGGCCTTGCTTCTGGCGCCGACCTCGCTGTCCCGTGGAGGCACCTTGCGTCCTTGCGGCAGAAATATGTTCAGAAGTGGGGCCTGCTGCGAGCGGTGCTCACGGGGGCCGTATGGACGAGGTCCCGAATTCAGGCGTGTGGGGGGGAGTGTGAGCTCACCTGCCCCCGTTGTGGTCAGGCTCCTGAAACGGATGTGCATCGTTTCTGCGAGTGCCCGTGCAGTGCTGAGTTTCAACAGATCGATGAAGCGTATGCCCGCAAGGCTGCATCTGTTGCTGCTGAACTCCCGTGTTTCTGGCTCCGCGGTCTCGTACCCCGTTCTTGGACGTGTGTCCCTCCCCCCCCCCGACGACCCGATCCTCTCTGCCGCTGGTGCGTTTCCTGGGCCTCCCGAAGGAACTTGCATCTGGGGCGCTGGAGATGCGAGTGGTGGGGAGTTCTCGAGGGATAAGCGTCTGAGGCGGGTGTCCTGGGGCGTCGCGGTTTTTGGCCATGTTGTGTTAACCCTGCCCCCCTCGAGTCGGATGCCTACATAAAGTTTCTGCAAGGGGGCGGGATCTCGGGTAAGCAGCCTGTTGATCGTGGAGAGCTTTGGGCTCTTGTGGTTTTCCTGGAATCTGCTCCTGATCAGGCTAGTCTGGGGTATTTAACCGACTCGGCGCATGTCGCCCGAAGTTTTGTGCGTGTCCCGGCTGGCCTTCAGAAGCGAATTCAGACCCATGTTGATCTCTGGAGCCGTGTCAGGAGTGCTCTGGATCGGCTTGGTGATGTTGTTCTCATCCAGATGCCGAGCCACCTCAAAGTTGAGGAGGCCATCAGACGGGGGCTGAACCCAAGAGTTGTGCTCGCGAACACGGTGGCCGATGAAGTCGCCAGCCATTTTGCGAAGCAGGTTCAGGTCCGATATGCGGTCTCGGCTCCTGTTCGATTTGCAGACGGTCTGGCTCGGAAAGTGCAGGGCCACCTTGTTGCTGTGATGTCAGATGTCTTGGAGCGCGAGGGCGGACGCCCTCCCCGCCCCTCCCAAAGAGAAGTCGCGAAGGACGGCTCGACAACTCTTGCGTGCGGCTGCTGCGAAGACCTCCCATCAGTGCCCTTTTGATGTGTGGAGACTTCGCGCGGTGTCAGAAGTGCGGGTGCAGCTCGCCCGCTCGTGACTTGACCGCTTTTTCAAAATTCGCCGTGCACCCCCATGGTCTGGTCTGGGTCGGTCGTTCGTCCAACGGCCTCGGTTTGTGTCAGGAGCCGTCTTGTCGACCCCGCCCATGCTTTGGCCTTCTGGCCCAAGGCAAATGTGCTGAGGTGCCTCACGCGCGGAGCTTACTCGACCCAATTTCTCAAAGACCTTGGAAAGCCGTGCTCTGGCCGCCTTGAGAAGGCGGGGTTTCAGAATATTCGGAGGATAGCCCAGGGCAAGGGTCCCTGGGAGTCCGGCTTGGGGGAAGGAGCGGAAGGACAGGGCTAGGGCGAGAGGGGAGGCGGGAGAGAGAGCGGCGAGCGCGGCCCCGCGCGCGCGGCGCGTGGCGCCGTTCGGCGACGGTGCGACCGCGGCGGACGCGGCGGCTGTGGCCGCCATCAGGCGCCGCCCTGCTTCTCTCTCCCCCCCCCGCGCGCCCGCCTCCGTCTCCTGTCGTCCCCCCGCCAACCTAGGTGGCATAGGGTGGCTCCTAGGTTGGCCGTTTTCCCCGCCATTGATCATCGTGATCACTCGCTAAATATATATATATATATATATATATATATACATATATATATATATGTATATATGTATTCCTTCCGTCCGTCCTCTCTTCCCCTGCCTCAGGGGCTGCACGAAATACACGTCGAAGGTAAAAAATATGCCCCCAAAGGCACGATCGAAGACGAAGAGGGCGGGTATCGAGGCTTTGGGATACACGTGTTGATTGAATGGCACGCGAGCAGATAAGAGCGACCAGTCTGAAAATGGTTGTTGTTGTAGCAGGGGTGCCAGTAGCACAACTTGAGCATGATGAGTTGTCCCTGGTAAAGAAACGGTGGTGGTCGCATAATTAGACGATTCACTGGCGGTGACCAGCTAGCACCGCAAACGAATGGGCGAGTCAGAAGGAAAGGAGGAGAAGGAGGGAAGGCGACGGTGGAGGTCTCACTCACTTGGCATCTTCGGATTTCATGCTCAGGCTCAGCCTGCCCATCCCGGTGTCCACGCTGACCACACGGACCTGAACCTCCTGCCCGACCTCGAGCTCGTCCCTCATGTTTGCCACGACGCCGTCCTTGACCTGCGAGGTGTGCACCAGGCCATCCGCAGTGGCGTCGCTGCCCGGAGCCTTGATGGCCACGAAAGCACCGTAGGAGCGGATTGCCATGACCGTGCCCTTGATCCAGGTGGCCGCGTCGATCCCCTCGAAGGGGGTCAGATCAACAGGCTCCCTCTCCACACGGGGGGGGGGAGGGCCCTCTGTCATGCTTAAACTCATCCTGTTGGTCGCGGTGTCACAGCCGATGAGCTTCACCCTGACCGCCTTACCAACCTCGACGAAGTCGTTGATGTTATCCACGAAGGTGTCTGCTATCCTAGTCAGGTGGACCAAGCCAGTCCCCTCTTCGCCGCTGTCCAGGGTAATCTTGACGAACGCACCGTAGGAGCGGATGCTCGTGACCGTGCCCTTGATCCAGGTGGCCGCGTCGATCCCCTCGAAGGGGGTCAGATCAACAGGCTCCCTCTCCACACGGGGGGGGGGAGGGCCCTCTGTCATGCTTAAACTCATCCTGTTGGTCGCGGTGTCACAGCCGATGAGCTTCACCCTGACCGCCTTACCAACCTCGACGAAGTCGTTGATGTTATCCACGAAGGTGTCTGCTATCCTAGACAGGTGGACCAAGCCAATCCCCTTTTCGCCGCTGTCCAGGGTAATCTTGACGAACGCGCCGTACGGGGCAATGCTGACGACCTCCCCGTCGAACCACTCCTCGACCTTGCCTGCGAACGGGGTGACGTCGGTGACGCGACTTCCGCCCTTACTGGGGCCCGCGGCCATCGCAACGAGCGGGCGGGCGCCGCGCGCCTGGCCGAGCGCGGCGGCCAGCGGCATGCTGCGCGCCTGCGGGCCCGGCCCCCTGGCCGCGGGCAGGAAACCGAGCGGGCCCTCCAGCACCTTGCACGCGACGGCCAGTGCGAGGGCGGCCGCGAGGCAGGAGCCTCTGGTCCGCCGGCTGGTCACTGCCGGAACCATCTCTTCAAAACTAGCCGCGGGGCTGGAACAGGCCTGCCACGGCTGACGTTCCGATGGCTTGGCGCAAGATCGACTGGGATCGAAGGGGCCTTGAGCCAAAATGGATACGGACATGTATTCAAATATACATACGTACATACATACATGCATGCATGCATGCATACATGCATGTCTACATATATCTATATATATACACATGCATACATAAATACACATGTATAATGTCCCCAATACGTGACCAGGATATCAGTGCCCGCCCAGACCCACCCAAGCATACGGAGAGGCGCGAGCCTGCAGGATCGACAACTGTTTTGCAACGACCAGATGCGGTATTCACCTTTGAAGCTCCTCTCGCGGCTCTAGGTCGCCCAACTCGCTGAGTGGCACACTCCACGCATCGATAACTCGTGCTGCACACAAATTATGCCTGCGGTGATGGTGTAAACTCCCACCGCAGGCCAAGGTCTGGACGGGCACCCGAACGTGTTTCGGGCCATGCAAGACTAGTCACGACACCAGGGAGGGAAGCTTCGAGTCAGAAACTATTCGTCCTAGCTTCGGTCATGGAAGTATTGGGGGGGCCCAGAAACAGCTATGGAAAAGACACAGGCATGAGGTTCAGGCTGCATGGTTCAAAACCTTCGGGTTTTTGCTAGTCGCGCCAAGGCCGGGCGCGATTAGCAAAAACCCGAAGCTTTTTTGTCGACTCTACTTTACAGGCTGCTCACACACATTAATATCCATTCTCGAGCTAATTCATTCATAATGTCCCAATACGTGACCAAGATCTCGGTGCCCGCGCAGACCCACCCAAGCATACGGAGAGGCGTGAGCCTGCAGGATCGACACTGTTTTGCAACGACCAGATGCGGTATTCACCTTTGAAGCTCCTCTCGCGTCTCTAGGCCACCCAACTCGCTGAGTGGCACACTCCACTCAACGAAAACTCGTGCTGCACACAAATTCTGCCTGCGGTGATGGTGTAAACTCCGATGCCCACCTGTGATCTGCCTCGGGAACCTGAGACCACAACTGGAGCCGGCCGCGACGAACAGGTGCCCCCATGCACTGCAGCACGGCCAAAAGAAAAGCCACCCCACCATCACCGACTCCCGCTAGCGATCTTGGCCCACGACGCGTAGTGGCGGGCCCACTGCAGCCAGCGAAACCACGTCGGGGTCGTCACACGGGCCTCGTCCTCGTCGTCAGTGAGAGGCGCGCGGAGCCAGTCCAGGTCGAGCGCGTCTGAGATCGCGCCCCGGGTGCGCGCGGCGATGGGGGCCAGCTCGGAGCTCACGTCGACCCCGAGCAGCTCCCACAAAGGGTTGGCCCACACAGCCGTGAAGCCCATGCGCGTCCAGACGATGCGCACCCCCACGTAGCAGCTCGGGAACAGGAGCGCCTCGAACTCGAAGTAGTCAAAGAACGAGGCCGTCTTGAACCGGCACTCGCCCCCGAGAAGCGCGGCGAGCGGGGCCCCACGCGGCCCGCGGCCTTCCACAGCCACTGCGAGTAGTCAGGCGGCAGCGGCCGCAGCGTGGCCGCCACCTCGCTCGCCTCGAACTCTTGCCGCGCGACTCCGCCGATGACCAGGAAGCGAGCGCCGGGCGCGTTGACCGAGGTGTCTGCCAAGTCCACTCCTGCCCAAGCTTCGTGCATCACGGACATGGTGCCCTTGGTGAAGGCCACGGCGACGTCCGAGACCAGCAGCGCGGCATTCTTGGCGACCTGGGCGATCGCACCCGCGGCGTCGGCGAGGTCCTCAGACAAGCTCACCGCGGCGCCCACACCCCGCGCCAGCGAGGGCGCCAGCCAGGCCGGCAGCAAGGCGATCACGACCAGCAGCACCGTGCACTGGGACACGAGGTTCCAGCGGCGCCCGCAGCACCATCTGCCGAAGGTGCGAAGGCCAGCGCCGCAGCGGCTGGTAGGCTTCTAGGCTTTGCTGGCCTGAGCGGCCTGCGCCTTCTGAAGGGTCTGCCTCTGGAGCGCCTCGAGCTCTAGGCGGCGCGCGAAGTCCTGCGCCACCTCGGGCGAGGGCAGCGACGGCAGGCCCAGGACCCCGACGGGCCCCGCAGACGCGTGGAAAGGGGTCGACGCCACCGACACCGGCGAGATCCCCGGAGCGCACCGAAGGCGCGGGCGAGGAAACTCGGCTGTCAGGCACGACCTTGGTCCACGCGCCGTTGATCATCTCGTAGCCCTTGGGCGCCATGAGGCGATGTCGGGGCACTGCAAATCGTGTCGAAGTAGATCGGCCAGTTGGTGCTCACCCAGCGCTGCTGGCCCGCCAGGCCGCGCTGCTGCAACTGCTGCAAGACGGTGTTGGCACCCAGCACGTCCAGGTAGATGCGGAGGCTGCTGTCGCTCACCCACCTGCCGCCCTCGCGGATCTCGGAAAAGCTGGTCCCCTCCGCGCGGGCGTCGGTCGCCCAGCCGGAGCGCGGGCTGCGCGGGCCCCAGCCCACAGACACGCCCAAGGCCTGCTCGGCTTGCTTGAGCAGGGCGCGGTAGCGGGCGAGGGGGCACGGGACGAGGTGGTGACCCGGAGGGGTGGCTGCTGCAACTCCTGTTAGCACCCGAACTAGAACCTCATCCTGCTGAGTGAGCACAACAATCTGAGAACGTTTCGACTTCGTACCCTTCTTCGTGCCCAGGGCGATGACAAGCGGTGATGATGCAATACTGGCACCACCCTGGTAAAGGAAAGAGAGGTGCTCGACCAATACCCAGCATTTCTCACGGGCGCATTCCAGTCAAGCACTGCAGTATCAGGCCCAGCCCTAGCCGACCGTGGCCCCAGGAGGCAAGATGGCACGCCAGCAACTTCCCCGGCGCGCGCCCCAGGGGCACCGCGTGGCGTCTGGGCGCAGAAGACCCCCATCCTCGAAGAACAGCGTGAGTCCAGGCTAACTTGCCTCGAAAACGCGGGAAAAAGGAACTCCACCGCAGCTACCACCTGGCCGAACTTCGCCGGCGTCAGGTGGTCCACGCTGTCGCACTTGAACTCAACCAGCAGGTCGCCCCACTGGTCAGCTCCATGAGTGTCCAGTCCATACAACGCCGCCCAGTCGGTGAGCAACTTCGCGGCGTGTCGGTAGTTGGCAAGGGCCTGCGGCTGCACCTTGGCGGCGCGATGCTCGTCGAGCCGCCGCGGCCCAGCCGCGCGAGTTAGAAGCGACCACGGAGTCGTGATAGCCAGTCAGCAGCTTGGTGTTTGGTATCCACCCACGGTAACAGAAAGCCAACGCCAGGAGCCAGACAAAGGCCAGCACGTCGCCTGAGGAGCTGGTTTTAGCGCAGGCGAAGCTGAGCGACCCTTGGCCATCGCGGCCGACAAAGTCTCGTTATCTTCCAGATTTGTGATGAGGAAACCATGGGAGCCTGGGCAGGCCGCCACGCGTGTCAGGACAGTCAGTGCTGCTCTGCCCTCTCCAAAAGTGATGTGATCTGCTCGCTGCCAGCGGCCGGCCGCCAGCGCCGCCCAGGTGCCCGCGTCCGCCTCCAGCAGCTGGCGAGGGACCTTGGACACGGGGACGCGGCAGCTGATCTCGCGGCCCTGGCGGTTCAGGTGCGACACGCGGCCGTCCAGGCGGGCAACAATGCGCCCAGGGCGGGTGCCAGTCAAGATGAGCTCCTCGGCCAGCTCCTGGTCCACTGACTTGCCGACGATCCCGAACCCGCCGAAGTCGACCGCGTTGACGCCCTCCGCGTCCTATGAAAAAACCAGCGGCGCGGCAGGCGCCCCGAGCTCCGAGCGCACGGCGGGGCCGAGCCACTACATGACGCAAGCCTCCCGGCGGGCTGACGGCCACCAGGGGGCTACTCGTCCCTCGAAGCGCCCCATGAGCTGAAAGATGGCGCGGGGCACGGCAAGCAGCTCCCGCTTGGGCAGCGCGCCCCAGATCCACACGCCAACGACCCCCCTGAGCAGTTCGATGTCCACCCACGGCACCTCGAAGAGCCAGCCCAAACTGTCCTGCAGGAGGCTGGCCTTCACTGGCTCCACGGCCAGCACGGGCGGGCCGGCCGGGAATGTGTAGCCGACGACCTGGGACACCTCGCTCGCCACGACCCGCTCGGGGACGACGAAGCCCACGTCCTCCCAGGCGCCGGCCAGCCTTGACATGACCGCGTCGCAGGTCGGACTCGTCGAGCGCTGGCCTCGAGGGTGGGACGATATGCACACGCCGTCGCCCACGTGCACGTAGCTGGCCACGTCCTTCTCGCGCAGCTTGACCCGGCCCCCCTCGGAGTAGAGCTCTTTGAGCACGTACAGCGCACCGCGTAGGGGGCCGCCGACCGACGTGCTCCAGTTCGAAGTCCTCGAGCCCAGCGAAGCTGTTCTTCTCCACCCCCCTGGGCCCAGACCGTCCTCGCCCATGGCCACGAGAGTCCTGACAACACACAGGGCGAGAAAACGACAGATGCCTGGAGGGCATGTTTGAAGTCGACGGGTAGCGAACGTCCCACCAGAGACTCGTGCGCACGACTTGCCGTGTTTGTGACGTCCATCGCACCTTAGGGAACCCTTAGCGATCCCAAGGAGGTTGGAGAGGAGACCTGTTGGTTTCTGGGCCACACCCCCAAACATCCACTGATCGAACTCAACGACTGACACCCCTGCCCTTTCGGCGAGCCCCTGGACTCCATCCAGGACCCAAATCGAGGGGTAGGGCTCGCATCCCGGGTCGGCCGGGTGCTCGACAAGGAAGGCGCCCCCCTGAGCTAGAACAGCTTCGCAGAGCCCCAGAAAATTAAACAGAAGCACGTTTGCCTCGTCCATTTTTCGCCTGCTGTCCCGCCGTCAGACCTCCCAGACGGGCCGCCGCCTGCTGCTCGCGCCGCGTCCGCAGCGGCGGCGGCCCGTCTGGGCGGAAGCGCGCGCGGCTCCAGGTTGCGCACGGCGGCCCGCCCAGCACGACGTCCAGGAGGCCCTCCTTGGCGAGGCCCAGCAGGAGGGAGATCGCGCGCGGGTCGCTGAAGTCCCACCTCCGATCGTACGCCAGGTCGACGCTGAACACGAAGACCCTCGCGCCGTGCTGGTCCCCGAGCTGCTCGATGTAGTGCTGCACGTCCTCCTGCCGGCGCTGGCCCGCGAACACGTGCAGGACCACCATCACCCTCGAGTCGAGCTGCTTCAGGGCCCTGACCTGGTCCACGAACTCGGGCACGGACATGCCCGCGCCCACGGGCCCCTTGGCGCGCCGAGCCCCCTGGCGGCTGACCCACTCGACGTCGGCCACGCCCACCACGTCGGTGAGCTCCTGGCGCGATGCCTCCAGCTGCTGCAGCACCTTCGAGCTATCCACCAGGCAGCGGCCAAGCGCCTGCATGTTGATGGCCATCATGATGCGCACCGAGTGCGACGAGCCCATCGGCAGGCGGGCGTCGCACGGGTAGATCAGCAGGTCGTCGGGCACGCCCGCCAGCTCGCTCGGCAAGAGCGCTCTCAGCAGCCCCGCTGTCACCGGGGGCGTGCCCATCCAGGGCCACATCCACTCAGGCGTCACGATGGACGAGAACGCGCTGGACTCGTCACAGCGGGCGACGCTCAGAGCGGAGCCAGGAGCCCAAAGCATGCCCAGGGCTCCGCCGCCGCCCAAGCCGCGGCCCTCACGCCCGCGCACGTCGCGCCATACGTAGTTGGCCGGGACAGCCATGATCAGCTTCCGCTGCTTGGTCGGGCCCTTCTTCCGCACCGCGCTCACGCCGTTGATCGCCTTGACCTGCTCGCGCGCGCGGTAGACCCAGAGCCCCGGCGGCAGGTCCTCTCGATGTAGGTACTTGATCCACTCGGAAGGCTCGCCGCCCAGGAAGCCGTAGTGCTGCTCCAGCTCGTCCTTCAGTACTTCTGATTTTCCTGACCAGTGAATCACATGTTCCTCATCTCGGTAGAAGGCGGCCTCGTCCGCAGGCAGAGCGTCGAGCATGTTGACCGTCTTGCGAGTTACCACCTCGTCTACGCGGTCGGCCTCGAAGGGCACACGCACGCCCACTCTCTTGCAGCCTGTGTACGAGACCTCGCCCAGCTTGAGGAGATCCCTCAGCGCCTGCACGCCAGTCACCCTCTCGGGCCGGCGAACCTGGCCAGACTCCTGCGCGAGGCGGACCGCGCGCAGCGGAGCCAGGCCGGTGGCGGAGCCATCACCTCGTCTGTCTTCAACGCGGGCTCCGCCACGTGCTGGTCGTCGCATATTACCAGAATAGGTTCCGATAGTACCCTCAATTACCCCAGTGCGACCCTACCTAGCAGTTGGAGCCCCTAGGATAGCAGAATTACTTGCTATGCTATGCTATGATATGCCATGTTATGCTGCGCTATGCTATGCTATGCTACGCTATGCTGCGCTATGATATGCTATGATGTGATATGCGATGCTATGATATGATATGATATGATATGTTCAGCTATGGTATGTGGTGCTGTGAGGTGCTATGCTAAGCTATGCTGGGCGATGCTATGCTAAGCTGCGCTATGTTATGCTTTGCTACGCGATGCGATGCGATGCCATGCTGTGCTATGCTATGGTATGAGTTGTTATGCTTGGCTATGTTATGCTATGTAATGGTTTGCGAATGCAGCGCTGCGCTATGCTACGCTAAGCCAAGCTAAGCCAAGCGAACCCTCGGTCGGGGATTACACCCATGTTAATGCCATGATATGCTGGGCGATGCTATGATATGCTATGCTGCGCTATGATGTGCAACGCTATGGTATGATTAGCTGTGCTCTGCGATGCTCAAGTTCAGCGAAGCTAAGATGAAGGTAAGCTAAGCTGAGATAAACCTGAGCTAAGATGAAGCGAAGCTAAGCTAAGATGAAATAAGTTAAGCGAAGATGAAATAAGCAACACTAAGCTAGAGGGGGGCAACTGGGGGAACCGCACG